AGAGAGAGAGAGAGAGAGAGATCCTGCAGAAGAGCTCAGTGCTCGTTGTCATGGATTCTCTGAGTGTGTGGAACTCAGCTAGATGGATAAACAGTGTTGTCATGGTGGTAAAGAGTCTCAGATGCTTCAAAATTTCCTGCAGGTTCAGCTGAGATCTGATGACTGTAAATTATATGGCATGTCATAGAATTTTCATACTCATTCAGTGAACCCTTTGTGTGTAAAATCAGTGTTAACTGTGAAAAATAATCAGCATGATGTCAGTGAAACATGGTTAACAAAGGCGAAAGTTATTCTGGTCTGACAGTGTCACGGTTAGACAGCGGGACTTAAATGTGATGTTGTAGGACTCTCTCCAAACGTAACTGACACAAATCCTATGAAATGTGTCTGCGTGTTATTTGAGTTTGTGTTTTTGTTTGCGTTGAGAGAGACTGAGACAGGAGGGAGATGTGTGTGGAAAATGGATCACTATTTGTCTCAAGTAAACCCTGTCCAGCTCTTCTGCTGTCTCAAACCCGATTCATCATCCATTGTAAGATCTGTAGAACACTTAAGCAAGAAATCAATTCCAATTTCCCAGTAGTGAGACGTCCAAGCGTCTCCTATGGGTCTGATTTAGCCAGACATAGCCTTTAATCTCTCAGTGTATTTGATTGGACAGCTTTCCCCTCTGTAGAGTGTTTGTTGAAGGCCTTGCTGCAATCCTTCTAGTAAAACAAGCATCCCAACAGCCGTCCCAGCCCTCCTAGCACACCCTCACCCCCAACCAGCGTTCACACTCACACACAACACACAGGAACACAAACACACATCTCTTCACACAGTGGCCTTCTCAGCACCATGATGAGGCTCTAATTCCCAAACAGATGTTAATGGGTTTTTGTACCTTGAGGAAAACCCAAGACGTAGGTACACATGAGCTGTTTGTTTTCTTTAATAAACAGCACATCCAGATCCAGCTGGGGAGGATCTGTCCCTGTCCCTGTGTTATTGGCCGTATTAAATCTGTCATGCAAATGCAAAATGTCAATGATATTGCTGTGAATTTACCATATACAATTATATGGTTGTGTTTTTAGGGAGACTGAGTATAAAGGCCTCCAGCTGTCTCTGGACCAGGCCGCATCCAAGGGGTCCTTCCCCTACAGCAGCAGCAGCGCGGCCAGCAGCCTCGTGGACAGCTGCAGGACTCCCAAGAGCAAAGTGTCCCGGCACAAGACCAAAGCTAGACTGTCCCCGTACACACAGGTGAGAATTTACAACAATGACATGTAAAGACACAGTCTCAGTTGAGCTTCATCACAACTCATGGAATCGGCTGAAGTGGTTTGGGCGTCTGATCAGCATGTTTCCTCGAGGGTTAATTTGTCCCATATGTCTTGAAAACACTTCAGGATCAAGTAACTGAGGGAGGGGATGATGATTGGAGCAAAAACATTGACAGATGTACTTTATATGGAGGTGAAAGTGAGCACACCCATAATGTTGGTAATATTCCCTCATTGCACACCACTACTGCCAGTATTGCTAAGCCAAAGTAAAGCCAGGAAGATGGTGTGTAAACTCTGATGGATATTTACAACCAACAGTTTTGGTAATAATTCTGTTTCCAGGCTGTCTGACTGCTCATGTCTTAGCAATTTGATTATTGAACACCAATAGACACTTCTTAGTCTTCCCTCTCCCTCTTTATACTATTATAATATAATGAAAGACAATAATAAAATGTTTACGGATATATCCATTGGATAAAAAACTAAACTAATGAACAAACAAAAACAATTAAATGAAAGTAAAACGACGGAGGTAACGAAAAGGAAAAGAGAAAAACATTCATCTCAATAAATTCAGAGACAATTCATTCACTCTGTCATGACAATATTCATAGAATCACATCTTGTTAAACAATTGTCTACAAAGTAAAAGCACAGTTTGTTTTGTTGTTTGAAAATCGAGCCAAGTTGCAGAGCTTTTATTTTGAAAAAGGGTGAACTTTGGTCTGATGATTGTGTTGTTTGCTGAACAGACCTCAGAAAGAGACAACATGCAATATATGAACAAATAACATCTGCTTAGTAAATCATTCAAACGTATATATAAACCATATCCAGTTTGCTAACTTCACTCTGCACTATTAACCGTTTATAAACAGCTCTGCACACAACGTCCAGCACACAAACAATAAAAAGTGACAGTATATTATACAACTGTTTGAGAAGGACTCACTAATGACAAGGACTAATTCTGAAGTAGCTCAGGAGCATTCACACAGGACAAGAAAACTCCCAGTCCAAACAGGAAGGATTATAACAAGCACTGAACTAGTGATTATTAAAATCCAAAAACCTCAAAATGGTAAATCTAAAAAAAAAAAAGTCAAACTCTACAACAATATGTTCCCACTAAATAAAGCAGAGTATCATTTTAAAGAACTGGATATTTTGTTTCAAGATTCCAACTTAAGATTCTCACTGAAAGTTTTTCCTTATGCTCTTGTATTTTGAACCCACAGCTGATTGATGTTACCTCCCACACACAGAACAAAAATAATTTACTGATTAGTGTCTTTGTGCCCTTTCATTTCCTCTTGACCTTTCAAATACATATTGAAGTATTCTGTTTCTCAGCTGACATTCTCAAATGGTGAGCTCATTCGCACAAGATGTCTTGATTTGTGGTCGGCGGTGAACAAGTGTAAAAACTCACAAACTTGCAAAGAGGCGCACTTTGCGGCTCAGAGAGTTCAACACTCCATTGTTGTACAGCTGTTTCTGTTTTTCTCATGTCATGAACAATATGGGAAAAATGTATTTCTGGTTCCAAATGTGTCATGTGACCTTTGATTTCAAGTGATGACAAAATGCTAAATTAGCCACGGCCTGGCACTGTTTCCCAGTAACAGGCTGTGATTTGTTGGATGACATGCTCTGTCTAGTAGAAGCCATCGTTATCACCATGCAAGCACCATAATCATTTATCCAAGAGTTGTTAAGCCACACGCCTTGTTATGACAAATTCTGACAAACAATTGAGGAGCTATTTTGTGATGAGCTTGTTTTGGATGATGGATGATGATGGCGTCAGTGTTCTCCGCAGATACTTCTTTAGCTAACACCTATGATGCCCATGTGAAACAATACAGCAATATTTCACAGCTCCTGATGAAATGAGGATCTCAAACATGTCTCCCAGTGAGAATTGACATTTTCTCTTGCCTACCGTCTCACTGCAGTATCCCAGTTTCCAGACGGAGCGCTCAGAGTCTGACCAGGACAGTCCGTGGGGCAGCAGCCCCCTCACCGACTCGGCCTCCCCTCAGCTCCTGGAGCAGAGTGAAGGTCTGGACGCCTCCTGTGTTTATAGGCAGTTCACCGATCCTCGCACGCTTTGCTACAGCCCGTCCGAAGAGCAGCGCCACGCACACCTCCACACACACGGTCAAGGCCAGCGTTGTGAGCGGGGCCGATGTGAGGCTGGGCGGTACTTCCTAGGAGCGCCTCCGCCCAGCAGCAATGTGTTGTGGGGCACCAGCCGGTCCATTCTACCGCTGAGCAAGAGTTCCCTGGAGAACCACGATGGATATGACAGCAGCATGCCGCACATCACAGCCATCCACAGCTACAATGGTCAGGACTCAGTCTACATCGACTCTAATGTGTTTTCTATTTCAAACGCTGATCTCAAGCATTGTCTGTCCAGATGAGCATTTTAAGAACGGTGACTGTTTCTGACACTTAGTGTTGGCAACAATTTACTTCATCAGTAATAGCTGAGCTGTAGCACATGAAAATCAATCAGGAAGCCAATGTGGGCGATTCCATCATTGTTCCTAAAAGCCCCAGAGTTTTCAAACTACCTACTGAAGAAAGCAGCTATTCTAACAATCTCAGTTTGAGGGATCTGAAAACTCTGGAATAATGTGGACGCCAGATGTACGCATAGCGAAAGTGATGCATTTTAAATTAAAACATACAACAACTATATTAGCTGTTGAAATGTATTCTTATTTTTAGATAGAACCTACTGACAGCCAGTTTTCTGTGATGATGAAGACCTTGATAGTTTGGGGTTGTTGAGTCATGTTGTCTCCATGACGGTAAATACAGCTAACACAGACGTATTGCAGGATATGGTGTTTTGTGATGTATCAAATATAAAGCTTGTTTTTATTATTCGAAACCGAAGAACGCTGCAGGATTAAGAGGAGCATGTGGAAGCCAAGAGCTGCCATGGCTTCCAATGATGATATGAATTCATGTTGCCATTGCACTGACAGCTTTTACTGTGTCCTCCTGCAGGCCAGGGCCACTGGGATGAGGACAGTGTGGTCAGCTCTCCAGACGCAGGCTCAGCCAGTGACTCAGGGGATCGATACCGAGCTGACCACTACCACTGCAGCCCACAGGAGCCCAGCAAGATCGAGACGCTGATCCGAGCCACGCAGCAGATGATCAAGGAAGAAGAAAGTCGACTTCAGCTACGCAAGGGTCCTCCAGATTCCCCACTGGGACCAGCAAATGGACTGCCCAAGGGCACAGGTCCGTGCTTCGCACCTGAGTATACTCAGGGGCCCCTGCCACTACAGTCAGTGGTGTGTCGAGGGTTGAGTCAGGCGATCAGCCCTGCAAATAGCCCCGCCCCCCTGTCCAGGCTCAGCAGTCCAGGATCGGAGCGCCTCCAAAAGCCCAAAGACTACCTCCAGACAGACCTGCCCCCCCTTTCTTTGCCATTACATCACCCGCTGACTCGCCCGGGCCCCTGCTCAGCTTCTCCCACCCTGGCCCCGGCCCTCTACCCCTCCCACGCCCACCCGCGCCCCTATTTGGACAAGCATACAGCCTACTCGCTGACAGGATACGCTCTGGAGCACCTCTATGACCCGGAGAGCCTCCGGGGCTATTGCACCTCCGCCAGCACTGGCCCCACCCATTATGATATGACCCCGCACCTCCGCATACCGGCAGAGCAGACTCCTGGACACAAAGGCACCTCTGTCATTATCACCAACAGCAGCTAACGCTCAGCTGACGCCCACAATGGGACTGCAGTCACATAGCCTGAGCTGGTTCGCTTCATCAGAGCTTTTTCATTCTTGATCCCGTTTGCTTGTTTTTCCATCAAATTGATCAACTCTGATCTCAGTTGTTGCTTCATCGTGGAGCCAAATTTCCACAAAAATTTTGCTGAAAGTCTGCAAAAGAAAATCAGTGCATTTTTCTCTAAATGGGAAAATATGTGAATATTCTCAAGAGGGAACAGCAATCATGTAATTACATCTGCGCTTGTGATTCTTCGAGATAATACGGATTCAGTGCAGAACTGAATTTATGTTGCTTTATTTGCTTCTTCAGTCCGAGTCGGACACAAAATTGTATATCTGAAAAAGACAAAGTCATATTCATTTCCAAAAAGTGAGACCCAACCTGAATCAGAACCAGTTTTGATCGGAATAAATTTTCCCAAAGTGTGTTTGACACAAACAGTTCTAAAACAGAGAGATCACAGACACAGGCAGCAGTTAATGAGCAGCCCACCTGAGCCACATGGGTATTTACACAGAGACCTAAGAGCCACTGTAATTGTGCATTACCCCGGTCTAACAGTTAGACTGAATATAATCTGTGCCCCAACACAGATCGCAACTTGGTGTCAGGTACCATGAGAACCATGAGAACCTCTGCTGTGCCTGCTGCCATATGTTACACATGTTGTTTTCAGACACTTACTGAAATGACTGACACTGTCGTCCGTGGGCAGACAGTGGTTAAAATTTGGATGATAAGCTATTCAATGATGTGACATCTGTGATGTGACAGCTGTACGTTCTCCACGGCTGCTGTCACAACACAGCTTCAGTACAGTATGATTTCTCTGTTTGTGTCTCATTATAGATTGATGAGCATTAATGGGTTTCTTACAGTAAGAGGGAGACATAAAACAAGTTGATCAGTATGATGGAAAACAGGGCTGAGTAGAAAATGTTGCTTCAACACGTGTCCATCTGTGCCATCACTTTCACTCTGACTGAGCTCTGTAACTTTTTGCACTATGAGAGATGGAGTTCTCGTGAAGAAATGACTGACGGTCGCTTGTGGTGCACTTTGTTGTGATGCAGATGAAACAGCACGAGTTGGCGCTGAAGTGAAAAGTCATTTCAAACAGATTAATATGCAAAGCCATTCTCCAGATGTTTCTTTTCTCTAACTTTTGTAAACTTTCAGGAAAGAAAAAGAGGAACACGTTCATCATCGATAAGATCGTACAGTAGGAACGGTGGTTACTACACAGTTAAATGGCTGACGCAGGCTGTCTGCTGTCATCATGGTGGAGTCCGGTCTTGACAACACAATAAAAGTTGTTCCTACTGTACCAGAAACTAAAGTCTCACTGAAGATCTGGGGGATATTTTCCATCCCGGTGTGTGTGCTCATCATTTCTCAGTGACTGGAGGGAGACTGACACCATATGCAACTTGACCCGTTGGAAAGCTTGGTAAGGCAGCTTAACCGCATCCACACATCCCTGAGGCAACTGTTAATTATTGTTATGTGGGCATGTTTGTACAACAGGATTCAAGTTTTCTTCTTTATCTCCTCCTCGGTCCTTAGATGAACCTATATTTATACAAGTTTGGGATTTTTGGTTTGTTTCTTTTTTGTCAATGCCTGACATGTGCTCCATCTCTAAAAGTTATTTATGGTGTTCTGTAAATATGCTGAGAAAAGAAAATGGCACCACATTTAAGCACATGGGCAGGAACTGTATTTATTGAGTCAATGTTTCTTTGTGATTTTGAAATAAAGCTTCAATCAAATCCAGTGGAATTGCCGGTTGTCGGTTGAGTGTGTTTTTGACTGAATCAAATTGTGAAGCATCGTGTTAGTTCATGCAGGACATGGGCTCATGTGCTCAGCTGTCTTAAGCTGTCAGCTACTGAGGTTTATGGGTGCTCATAATTTTTATCTAATGTTTAAATACAACATTCAAAAAAAGAATAATCACAAACTCCCATACTCCCTCCCTACCACTCTGTTCCTGAGCGCTATTAAAGAATTCTTCTCTGCAAGGTGGTAGAAGGTGTTTGATTGACAACCCCACTAACATGAGGGATTTCCAGACATGATCTCCGGAGAATGTCCTACATATGTACAACACAGCAGAGCCTCAGATGCATTTATAGCAACACAGAATTTCTGCAGCATTCAAGTG